TTTTTATAATAAAAGGGTTATCATGTCAATATTAGGCCTTGAAAAAAGAAAAGAAATTTATTTGAGTCAAAATCAATAAAAGAAGCATATGACACATTTTTTGAGTCATTAGGGGCATCAAAAGAAAACTAGTTATCTTTGCTTATACGCCACACTGGAGCTTCTATATTTGTTCTTGACTCTTATAAATGTTTCCATCCATTCATATATATCTCATCCCGTTTTGATGTCTTTGTATACTTATAATATTCTTGATTATTCTCCTAATTTAAAGGTATAGTGAAATCAAACAGGGGGCAACTCAGCATTGAGGACAATATCTAATTTAAATTTGTGGATGAAAAAAACATTGAGTTTTTTTGTTTTTTTTTTTCTAATTGTATGCTTTATAATATATAAAAAAGTAGAAATAGTTTGAAAAAAAAAATTAATTCCAAAAAGATTTTCATTTTAGTTGCTTTCTATTATAGGTTAGGTAGCCTTGTTGACTATAATGGATATAACTAGAATTATATGTGATTGATGAACTTTAATAATTTTCATGCTTTGATCAATTGATGCTCGTCCACGTAGAATTTGATACTATTTGTGCACATGAATTAAGTTTTGCATTGTCAAGTAGTAAGTTGATTCATATGATTGATAGGTTGAAGTAGTAGAACTTAAATGCTAAATTCAAATATCACTACATTATACATCCTTAGACCATTTTAAGTATAATCTAGGGGCGATAGAACTTTTGTAGGAAGATATTGAGATGAATGGAGATTCAGTGTGTGTAAAAGATTCCAATGATTACAACAATTGAAAATTCCAAAAAGAAAACTCAAAAAGGGGATAAAGCTAGTGTATAAAATAGAGTACGTCGCAACTTGAAAAGTAAATGCATAAAACAGAAGGCATACTATATACATTGATTAAGTCTTCAAATACTTATTTGAGAAAATTAGACTTTTGATAATTGGTTATTAGCCTAGGTGAGTGTTAGAGGTTGAAGCAATCAAAATTAAGAGAGTTCTTATTTATTGAGGTATTGACTTGCAATTAGTGAAATCTATTTAAACTAAAGATGGTGATAATTAGTATAAAAATCCAACATTAGATCACACCTTGAAAAAAGAGTTAAAATAATAATTTTGGGTGTGTGTGTGTGTATTTTTACAAGTAAAGAAAGGAATATTTTACCATTAAGGGTCGAAAATTGAAGCAACTTGTGAAATTATATGTTTTACTTAATCCTTCACACACACACACACACACACACACCAGTTTTATATTAGATAAGTAAAAATTAATTTTTTTGTGTTGTAATTTTGAAGTTTTTCATAATTTAATACAATGGTTTCAATCCTAAGAAAAAGAATATGTTATCTAACAAAAAAATTATTGCATACTTATTGGTTGGGATAAGTTATAGTTTCGTTTGAGAACAAATAAATAATCAAGTTTAGGGGTGTTTGATAAGTTTAATTTGTACACTTATCTAAGTCGTTAAATATCAATATTTGGTGTTACTTTTGATGAAATATAGCTTAATCTCTTGTAAATTTTGTTTATTGGGTACAAGGAATTGAAATTGGAATAAATGAAAGAAAAATAGGCTAAAAATGATGATTTCCAAAGTTTTGGGATGAAATTATAAATATTTAATAGTTGATTTAGGCCATGGAACATGGATTAAAGATTATACGTAATCAAATGGATGAGATTTGAAGCCAAATGATGAAAATTACACGAAAAAAAGGACTATAAACACCTTAGAACAAATTCAGGGACCAACAGAAATCCAGGGACCAACTTGCTGTTGGTCCCAAAGCAGACCAAAGCTATGCATATGCGTGGGGATTAGGCCTTGTGCATGCAAGGATTGAAAAATCAAAACTCGAGACGAAATGTTGTCTACCATGAATGTGCAATGGGAGATACCGTGCTTGCACATGGTAGCATTCCAGCTAGACAAGCCAATTTTCTTTTTGAACTGAAACTCTATATGGAATTTTAGACGACTTCTTGACCTATTTCCGAGCCTTTTAAATATGAACAATCATCTACATATCTTTCATATTATATAATTCATGAATTCTTGCAATTAAAGGGAGGCAATTCATCACACTTTTGGGCAAATCAAGAGGTAAATACAAGAATTCAATCAATTAACGATCCAATCTTGGTTTTTGAGCAAAAGGGGAAGGTGCAACGGAAAAATATCAAGAAACCATTGAAGAGATTCAAGATTTCCCCTCTTCCTTTTTATTAATATAAAATCCATGCGATGCTCCATAAATCGAAGATGATTTCTTGTGATTTTGTGTTATTAGGGTAAGTTTTTATTTAATATAAGGCATAGATGAACCCTTATTATGAAGTTTTAATATGATTTCAATATTTTCACGCTCAATATGTGTGATTTCTTGGGTGATTGTTATTGTGTTTAATGCTTTTCAATTACTTGATATATATTCGATTGATTTGTGAGTTTATTATTCTCAATAGAGACGATAGGATATATACCACTTATAACAGTTGTTATGAGATCTTATAGGAGATAAATATATACCTCTATATTTTGCATGATTTCAATATATTCTAGTATTTTTAATTAATGTTTTATGTGTTTATATGTTTCATAGAGATATAGAAATGTTACATGAGATTGTAGATTTAACTCTAATTGAGAGATATTATTTAAATACCTTGGGAAAATTGATCAACAAGAATGCATACATATTGTAATGATATTGAATTGTATTAATTTGGATTAATATGTGGGATTCAAAATCTTAGTAATCATATCTTACAAAAACCATCATAATTTGCTCAATAGAATAATTAGTTTAATTAGGTAAAATTAACATAGGTGTAATAATTAAAAAATAAAAAAAATTGTGAATCCTCCATAGCCATAAAGTTTATTTGTCTTTTATTTTTAGTAAAGTCAATTTCTTCTTGTCAATTCTTTCACGAGCCCATGTTCTCATCATGTGAACAAATAAACAAAACGTTGACAGTCTCCTTTCTGCGTGTTCATTTAAAACAGGCTACTAGTCCAGATGGGATTTATTTGTAGCCATATGATTGAAACAAAACAAGTGTGATTTAGTAATCTAAGTTGAATTGCTTGCTTGAATTGGGACGTAGATTTAGAATTTTTTACCCTTTTGTATATGTATGATTACAGCTTAAAGTAATCGGAAATTCGTAATCTCTCTAAAATATACCGTTTGAAGATGGTGACATCATAAAAATCGAGTATCTCGAATACTTAACTAGATTTTTCGAAACTACGAGACCCAATTTGAATCGTAATCAAGTAAAGAATGTAAAATAAGCCATTATTTTTAAATTCCCTAGAAAAAAAAAAATCATCCATAAAAGAGCCTTCATTAAGCAATAAGAGTAGATACAAAAATACCACGCAAAGTTACCACTTAGTGTGTGTTTGGTAGGGATTTTTTGAGGGAAGAATTGATTTTGAATAGTGATATGATGGGAAATGTGTGGTTGAAAAAGAAGATAAGATTATAGATGTGATAGAAAATATTATTTTATTGAAGAATGTGTGGTTGAAAATGAGAATTGGTACCAAACATAGAGTTTTCGTAACAATGCCCAATATAATTAAGTGCGTAGCGTCTACCAATTTCTCCAGATCCCTCCTCTTTGTTTTCATATTAGGATTTCATTGTCATGTCAGCAATTCTTGGAAGTCCTCTTCCAAAAGATGAAATATCTTCCTTTGAATTAGGTACGAACACTATTGAGTAACCAATCAAATAAATGAGTATGATCGGTGTGAACAATCTTCGGGATTATCCCAATTTTTGTGTTCGCCTTAGTTTTCAAAATCCACCATTGTGCTCCTTGAGTATCGTGAGATTAACCCGACCCTCTCCAGAGGCTCCCTAGAAAGTTATTTCAGTCAAGGGCAATTCACTTTTGGAGTTATGACAATGATTGTTATTGATATAGTAAATGGATCTGTCAATTCTTAATAAAATTCGGGAGTACATTGCTAGAATAGAACGGTCAATTTTCTATTAAAAAGATAAGTATGGCCTAATACATGTTCTATTTTGTAGGTCAGTTCTTGGATCAAGATCGGCAGATTCTCACATATTCCAACGGTTGAGCAATTTTTGACGTCAATGTATATTCTTAAAATTTTATCTTTTCATGGTTAATGCCATGGAAAAATCCTGTGGTAGACAACGTTTGAACAAGCTGACAGAAAATCATTCGATGAGAACAAAAAGTGGCAATTTTGTCGTTCACACGAGACATTAAGCAGAGGAAAGAGAGGCATAAAGAAGTTGTCGTGTACTCTGTGGGATAAGGATTGCCCTTTGAACCATTTCTCGTATTGTGACTAACTAGGAAATAGCCTCATCTATTCTGTTAGACCCTTTTTATTATCTCTTAATTCTATTTCGAGAATATTCATTATATTGTATCGTCGATCATTCCCATGGATAGATGGACCACAATTCGACTTACGTTGTCAAGTAAGAGGATCGTCAACTAAGGAAATGAAGCCTCTTCCTATTCGACACACATAATAATATATTGAAGAGTGACAAGATATAAGAATCATATTTTTTAAGCATTGCAACGACATTGAATCAGACCTCTGCAATGAGCAAAGACTCCTGTTTTTTTGTTCGATGGAGCTGAATCTTTATGGCTTTATATACCGCTAATAAAGAAAAAAAATTAAAATTTTGCTCATTATACTATCTTGTCATGTTTAATACTGCATATATTAAGCATGCATTAGAAGTATTTGTAATTTGTCACGTGAAATCACCCTCAATATATTTCGTATGGTAAGTAAAACTAGTATGGAATTGAAATACTTATAAAAATTTCAATACTATGTCGTATCGTACAAGTCACAAGGGTATAATAGTCATATGATGAACTTTTGGAGCCTATATAAACTTGCTCAAATTTCATTGACACATTTTTACATGGAGCAATAGACTCGTAGAAGCTTATATACCATGAAAACGTTACATCTAGTTTCCCCTCTCCCTTTTCTTTTCACAGCTTTTCTCTTCCAACTCCAACAAACTCCAGCCCTCCAATACTCCTCCAGCAGCACCACTACTGCCACTGTTTATGACCCAACCGCCACCGTCATGCAGCCAACTCCGGCCACCCCTGTAAACAACACAGATTTTACCCGCACAAGTTGCGAAACAACACTATACCCCGAACTATGCTACAATTCTCTTGCACGCTATGCCAATGTTGTGCAGCAAGATCCCGGTCGACTAGCACGTATTGCCATCAACATTACCCTAACCGAAGCCGAGCTGATGCCTGCTTACATATCAAATCTCACACACCAAACTGAGTATGGAGCAAGAGCTGACCCTCGGGCGGTGAATGCTCTACACGACTGCTTTACTGTTCTTAGTGATGCGGTCGAGCAATTACGTAGCTCGCTCAAGCAGCTCAGCCAGCTGGAAAGCCCCGGCCCGACATTCTTGTTTCAAGTGAGCAACGTTCAGACGTGGATGAGTGCTGCCTTGACCAACGAGGAGACATGCACTGACGGATTTAGTGACGTTCCCGACACACCGATGAAAAGTGACGTATGTGATCAAGTAGAGAAAGTGAAGGAAATGACTAGCAATGCGCTAGCGTTGGTTAATAATTATGTTGCCCGTGAGCTGTGAGTGTGTGAAAGAAAATCAGTTGCAGTTGTAAAAGATACTGTAGTTCGATGAGAGATGTAAAGTGATATTTTCATCCTGTATTCATTACAATAACTGCTTAGTATGGACCGGACAGCTTACAAATCATTGGTCAATTCTTATTATCGTATTCTTTTTTTATATTTTTTTTTTCATTTAAAAGATCATTCATTTATAATAAGTCTTTTTGACAACCATTAAATGAAAAAAAAAAATCATGTCTGAATAGTAATTTTTAAGAGAATTTACGTTAAAAATATTTTATTGCGTGAATGTTGTTAAGAAATAGTACTTAAAAAAAATTTTAAAAATCGAAAATAACGGTTCTCAAACAGGGGGCTTAAGTATTATTCCCACCTAGTGTATTGTAGAAGATCAGAAAACAGGTGTAAAAGAAAGAAAATATAAAGATTGGTGCCCATATTTAACCAAATTCTCATCAAGAGCTCATTATGTAGAGGCAGCATTTATAGAAAACTTTATCAAGTTCTGATTGTGTACAGGTTCTCTAGTATCAACACAATCAGAAACAGGACTAATTTCTTATTGAAAAACAAACACAAATATCATATTGTTTAGTGGAAAATGTTTTATGTAATTACAGTTGGAGCAGATCGGCCGGTGAATTCTTGCATCTTAGACAGCTTAAGAGCAACCTCAACCTGCAGCCATTTCGAACCAGTTGTTTGAGAGAGAGAGAGAGAAAGAGAGCAGGAAATGTAAAGCTGCGTGATGTCTCACCAGAGGAGCAAGTGCTTCTTGAGAATCTCTCCCCGTCATGGCTGGATCGTTCTCGTATTGCTCAATATAAAGACGGATGGTAGCACCCTCTGAACCAGTTCCAGAAAGCCGGAAAACCTGGTGCATAATCAATATTGGATCTGATAAGAGAATTCTTCTCAAGATAAAAGTAAAATTAGGAGACCATAGAATCTCTTTTCATGTCCTCTATTTACTTGATTATTTATAGTTCAGTTACTGATGTAATCACATGATCATGTAACGATTCACAAGTTCTAGGGTTCAAGCGTGGTAAATATGGCAAGTTTTAAACCGCTGTAAAGATGATATGGTCAAAATGCTACTGGAAATATTGCTGGGAAGGAAGAGAGTACCAATCGGGATCCATCTTCAAACAGGTACCGGATACCCTGATGCTTTGAAATGGAACCATCAACCGGATCTTTGTACTCAAATTCATCGGCATTGACAACATTCGACATGTCCGAATGTATTCCCTTTATTATTCTGTAAGAATGTTAGAGCGTAAGATCTACGTAAGAAATAATTTCACAGATTTGAGCACCCAAATATCATTATAACCAAAAATAAATAAATCCAGTAATAGTCGACGAACAATGCACAATTAGAAAAAAGAACATAATCCCCTTATTATTCTGTAAGAATGGAACAGTTTAAGATCAACATAAGAAATATTTACAGAATTGAGTACCCAAATATCAGTATGACCAAAAAAATAACAAAATAAAGAGGGGAAAAATCCTCTAATAGTCAAAGAACAATGCACAGTGAGAAAAAAAGATTATACTTGGTTCTTACATAGGTTTCTTAGCAAAAGAATGTTCAATGTGCTCCAAAAGTCGATAGCAATCTCAATAAATGGACTTTCTGAGAGACACCTCTCCAGTTTAGTTATAGTTGTCGACAAGAATTATAGCAACTAACGATTATTTCTTTAGAATAAGTATCAATCTGTTTAGTGTTTAAAACAGGAGAGCCCATCAAAAATTTACATCAACTGAAATAATCACTGTTATTGATGTTCATAGCATTATTGGAAAAACCATACTATGAAAGCCTCATGGGATCCACTCATACTACAAACCAAAACAATCAGTAGGTCTCCCATTAGAATGTAAGCCGTCTCGTTGTAAATTAAAAGAATTCAACTCAAGAAATATACGTGCCCCAAGTTCGTTCAGATAAAAAAAGCAGATTTTTATTAGATTTTGATAAAAGTTGATGGAATGTGTTGTTTAAAAGTTGTGGGTCCCCCATGAAATGTGTGGTTACAATTAATTGTTGACTTTGACTTTGACGTTATCCATTTTTTTAGCTAAGGCCCTATTTGGTACCCATTAAAATTTTCATTCTCATTCTTCTACTCATTTTCAACTACACATTCTTCATTAAAATAATATTTTTCATCACATAAATTTTTTTTTTTTTGATAACCGTGGATGTTCGGGCCAGCTTGCGCGCACCTCGACTAATTCCACGGGGCCCTGAAGTTTACGGCCAGGTACTCACCTCAGTGGCCCTGAAGGGACTCGAACTGATGACCATTGGGGAGCAAACCCAAGGCCTAACTAATTGAGCAACCCCTCAGGGTTCATCATATCAATAACTTTTCCTTCTTTTTCAACCACACATTTTCCATCAATCTACTATTCCAAAATACATTTTTCCAAAATAATATCCATCAAACACACCCTAAACCAAACACACCCTAAACCAAACAGGGGGGATAATTACATGGACAACAATGTTAGTTACATTTATTAGCTACCAACAATCATTAGCTTACTTGTTAACTTCATCAAGGGAGGATTGCAGCATGACCAAATGCGCCATCAGTTCCTTTGCACCACCTGCATCAACATTCTTGAAGAAGCAACACAATTTGAACTTAAAATGATGTTTCCAATAATATAACACTGTTCTTATTATTAGCAATAGTAAGGCAAATTGCATATCATGCGTACCTCATAATCATATCGAGTGTAATAATGGCGTCCATAAGTAGCCCAATGCTGGCGAACAATGTCTTCAACAGTCACAAGCTTCTCTTCCCCAAGGTTATCTTTATTCTTATAGGCCAGAATAGATAGCCAAGCCAAAACAGCCCAGATTCCATCTTTCTCACGTATATGGTCGGAGCCTGTTAACATTGAATAAAAAAAAATGATTGAAAAATGGAGTCCAATTGCATTGTATGCTTACAGTAAAATGCCACTTATCTTATTGATCATTTGCATGAAGGAACACGCATATCTTACCAGTTCCAAAACTTTCTTCACCACAGACTGAGCACCTTCCAGCATCCATCAAGTTACCAAAGAATTTCCAGCCAGTGGGCACCTTAACAAAGATATAAATTTAAGCCTGTAAAAATAATTACAGACAAGAAATTCTAAATTTCACGTACTTCTGAGTACCTCAAAGAATTTCAAATTCAAGTGTTTAGCAACAACATCAAGAGCAGCTGAAGTGGGCATGCTCCTGCAGGCGGAAGAATATTAATGGTGAATACAAGTCTAAAAGAAACAATTGACCAACCATAATATTGACGAAAATTCCCAACATGCAAAAATTAGGCAGTGTCCATGTACAGAAACACGCAAGAAGACAAACACTTAGTAGACAATGGAAGTGAAGAAAACTAGAATAGAACCTTGCCACTCCTTTTAGGCCCCCAGAAAAGTAAGGTATCGCTTCAACGGAATTTGCAGCAATTATAGCAACAGAATCAGATGGAGTAACAAAAAACCTGCCATCACAATATAAGTAAAATAGGTGATTCAGGAATGAAAGTAGTTTGAAAACCAAATTAATATAAGAAGAGAAGACCTTTTCCCGAGGATCATATTGCGGTCTGCATCTCCATCGGCAGCAGCACCAAATTCCGGTGGCTCCTGTTCAGAGTTTGTCTTACCCAGTCCCATACGTGCAACTAACTCTTTTGCATAGGTCAGATTGGGATCTGGATGCCCTCCACCAAAGTCTTCCTGCCAGTGTTATGTTATGCAGATATAAACAAAGGAAAGTTGCATATTCTTGGGAGAACAACACAAGTACCTTAGGCACACAATTAAGTAAAGAGCTTTCATTTGCACCCAGCTCTTCCACAAATATACGTTTAGCATAAGCCCCAGCAACTCCATGAAGTGCATCATAACTAACATATGAAAACAGAATTTATGCAATCTATTATTTGATAAGAGAACAAGAAACAAGAAAATTATCATGCACATGACATCAAAGCAAGCATACGTACCAAAAAGAGAATTTCGGAGACGTAAGCAACTTCTGGATAGACTGGAAATCAAAAATGGACCTGGGAAGAAATCGGCAAAAAAAATATTATTTTGGCACAGAATTTTGGTATACATGTTACAGAATAAAGGAAAGAGAAGGGCAAGACAAAAGATAAATGACATAAAAAAAAATGTAAGCTTGCTGCTTCAAACGCTTCAGTGAAAACATTAAAATAGATGCACGTGGCAATATATCCTAAAATTTAAATCAGAACAAACTAAAAATTGTAATTGAGGCAAAATAGCACCACAATAATCATAAACAATTGGAAGTTCAAGAAATGATATAGAAACATCGAAAATAATAACAAAGGTCACAGAGATGAAAACTAACAGAGAAATAAAGCATTTCGAACAGCAGGCACGATTCATAAGTGTCATTTTCAGGAAAACTAATGTTGTATAACACAACTGAACATGGCCAAACAAATAGAAGGGTGTGATTTTCAAAACTGGGCCAACATTATTTGATTAATTAAAAATCCATGTATTCTCTTGAGACAAAACCAAATTGCTACCTTTCTATATAAAATGGGGAAAAAATAGTCTACATTTGCAGATTTGTTTTTGTGCAACAAGCAAGTGAAATTTTTTAAGTTTATGTAAAAATGACATACTTCATCAACTTGACATAATCACTTGCTGAATCAAAAACATCAATGTCAAATTGTCCCTCAGGGCCCATAAAGCTAGTCACACCTATTATGCTGATGTCCACCTGCAATGTTGATTAATAGCGAGAAATATCTGTGATCAACAAAATAACACCAACTGCAGTCTTAGGAACAAATGAAATACTTCAAGAACGGGTCATACATCTGGCAGGCCTTCTGCAATTAAGTACTCCTTAATTGTTTTAGTATTCTCAAAGATCTTATCAGTAATTCCTTCTGGTGCAGGTCCCCCATTTTCCGTGTTGTATTTAATTCCAAAATCCTGTGACAAAATCAAATAAATAAGAAGTCAAACACTCATCTTAAGGAGCTTACTTATTCAGGATACATTTGATTGCAGTAATTCGTCATTCGATAATTCAAAAAGGTCTTCCAGATTGATATTTTTTTCCCAAATATACTCTCTCCCACTCTAAGCGTCTATAATTTAACAGCCACAGAAATACTCTGCAGATTGTAGATTTTCTTACTGAACCTGTTTGACCAGTAATTCACTTTCTCCTCCCATGCGAATCATATAATTCTACCAATTAACAGAGTTTTGCCTATACGAAATCTTAATTAACAGAGTTTTGCCAGATGTCTCATTTCCTACAAACAATTGTGTATTTCACATATGAAGTTGGAAAAACATTCAAGATTAAACAAAGTTCATTACCAAGCTCTAAACAACTATATGCCAGTTTGTGATCATTTTCAAATCCAGTTATCCATTTTCTGACACAGAGATCCGTATGTAGGGAAAAACAAATATGTTTGTTTGCTTCATTTGAATGTTTCAAAAGAAAAATGAAAGAGCCCTAAATTGAATAAGTTTTAATGTTTTTACCTGAAACAGTGCCAAAACATCATCCAAAAGGGAAAACCCTAAACAACATATTTTTCTTGTTTTTTGACACGTCGATCCACATCATAATTGTATTTGAATCTTACCAAAAATGTTCCAAATATTTTTTTCTGAAAACAAAGAAAGCGTTTTCCAGAAATATATGATGTCTCTCTCACGAGAATTAACAGCATGCAAACCTTTTTCTCAGATAAAGCAAACTTGTTAAAAAGAGAGTTATAGACTAGGTATCCTCAAACAATAAGACCAAAAACAAGGTCATATCAAGAACCAAAAAGAGCTCCCATCTCCAATGAGGAGATGTCAAAGAAAATTCCTAGCAAACCAGAGGATCCGGATCACAAGAATGGATAAATGACAACTCATTTCAAAATAGATAAATTAATGTTAAATGAAATTGAAATATAATGACAGGTGGAGACTTGGAGAGGAAAAACAACTTTACTTTATAATAAAAAAAGTGAGTGTTATGTACATTCTTTAAACTAGACTTAAAATGTAGGTGTTGCATGTGTTTAGAGATCGAGACTAGTTCACACATTTTCACTAGCAGCACCATCGCTGAAGTACCGATAAGATCTAATGAGAGGGTTCGACGTCGATTCAAAGATGAAGGTATTCGGGCTAGTATGTTCGTAAGGGCCACATCCGTGCTATAATTCCTATGTTGATTTTCTAGTTCCCATGGTTTGCGAGAAATGAGGCGAAGCATAATGACTAATGAGACACGTACGGATCCTAGAAGGATCATTTGGAAAGAATACCGCAAGTTTTCTCTTCTTTATGGATCACCTATTTTGGCCTATTCACTGGTGTGGTCACACGAATATTACTCCTCTTTTTAGCATTTCTTTGACTCTTCCTCCTCCTATCCCCCTATTTTAGTTTTTGGCGTAACTCAACGACGTGACTTTACAAGATTAACACCGACAGATGCGTCAAGGACGGTTTTGCTAGTAGCGGGAACATTGCTCGAGATCATATGTTGGTCATTGTGTTAGAGCTTTCTCGTTTTACGACGATTGTCCCATTCTAGAGGTTGAGCTACAGGCTATCTTGGATGGGAAATTACTTGCTCGTTGTTTAGGTCTCCCTGACATTTGGGTGGAGAGGCTGATTCATATATGGTCGTCCACTGCATCACTAGGCGTGACGGACCTTGAGCGATTCAGATCATTCTTAGACAAATCAAACACGGTTTCTCTATTACTTGTGATATTGTCTCCCACACTTTTCGTGAGGGGAACTAGGTTGCCGACTCTCGATTCTGAAGGATGGGATCAAAGCCATTATCAGGAGTACCTTGACCTTCCACGTCGACTCCGAGCTCTTAAACAGATAGATAGATATAGATTTCCAAGCATTATAGAGCGTTAGTTTGATTTTTATTTGCTTACACTGTATCGGAAGTAGTATTTCCTATCTTATTTCATCTCTTCAGATGTTGTACCTTTTTGCTATTCGGACATCAAGTTTAAGCCCCCTTTCGTGTCTTCTCGAGGTATTTGTTTTATATATACGGTTGGAGTATCCAAACCCCATCATGCTGGTGGCACTTGAAAACCAAGATTGTGGTCATGATTGTCTAAACAAAAAGTAGTACACAAGTACATGTTTGTGTGTAGCTCAAATAAACAGAATATAGTTACCACGCAATAATTTTGGTTCCTACCTTATCTCCTTTTCAAAAAAAGTAGCTATTAAAGAAGACCAAGCAAGCAATAAGATACATCAAGGACCTCTACATGTTAAATGTCATAACAATGAAACATCATCAAGCTCTATCTAGACATAATAAACACTATCAAGATAAGTACATTATTTTTTTCTCTTTTGAGTATCAGAATGATGATAAATTGGGAAATTTTGTATGAGCCTCTGTAGCACGGACACTTCAATTAGGGTAGCGTGTCCGTGTCGAACACGAGTTGATACCAACACTTTTCAGACACTCTACCGTAATCATTTTTCTTTTTATATTAGAAATATTATATATTGTTAATTCAAAGTTATTAGCATGTAACAAATAGGTACTTATGTTTAAAAGATTTCAACAAGAAAAATTAATAACAAGTATAAAACTAAATTNAAAAGAATTCAACAAGAAAAATTAATAACAAGTATAAAACTAAATTTATACTATATAAATGAAGAATTTTAAAGAATTTAATCAACGTGTCGATGACGTATCTTGTCTGTACTTTTTTTAAAAATCGCGTGTCGATGTATCCAAAATATATCGTGTCGGTGCATCATAGGTATGAGCTGTACAATTGGACACAAAGTATACATCGGCTAGACAAAAGATACCCAGCAATCAACAGCAGTAGTCTCATAATGTAATCGCATTCCAAATTCCCAGAATTTAAAAAAAAAAAAAAAAGGCATGATTAGTAATTAACATATAAAAACAAACTAGGGAGGTAATCATGAAACACAATAAATGAAACCTGGAGGTTCATCTAAAATAGAAATATTTCCATTCCATATTCAGAATCAAATCATGCTTCAGGCATTCGAAAGGGTAAATCAACAATCAACCAATTCTTGCACACACCTCATGTGGCCCCCCAGGATTGTGGCTTGCAGTTAATATAAAAGCTCCATTTGCCTTAGATCCCTATTCATGTGTAACACAAACAATGATCAGCACATGTGAAAACCAAATTTTCATGTTCATCAAGAAAATTTGAAGGAAACAGCTAGATGTGTATCCCTTGAAGAAGCTTACATCGGGCCCAACTCTTTCACGTATAACAGCTGATACAGCAGGAGTAGATAGCAATCCATTTTGACCAATCCAAACACGTCTTACTCCATTTGCAGCTGCCATTTTAATGATTATCTGCCATGGGAAAAAATCATTAGATAATAACAATGTCATCTATCAATACGTAGAGAAGCAAACATAATTATGCTAAGAATTAATAACCACGAGACTGAGACTCTTAACTGCTCAAATTTAGAACAGAACATCCACTGTAAGGACATATAGTGATAAATTTGATGCATACGTAGTATTTTAAATAATAATAAACAATATACATGTAGCCTTCTCTAAAAGCTTAATTTTGAGTCAGAAAACGCAAAGGTTCCAGGTCCAAGTCTCGTCGCCACCCATTTAATGAAATTGTGCACGTATCAATCTTTAATGGGAACAATGAACCCCACCTACACGTCAAGGTATGTTGAAGATAATATTTAAATGATATACATGTGAAATTTTTTATCAGCTTAAACTTTTAAATCAAGTGGTTCAACAAAATATATAACTATTCCACCCGGACAGAGTGTTTCTTTATGACAATGACCAACAGGAAATTTCCGAAATAATACAGAATTGACAAAACAGTTCTGCAATCATAATCATGTAAATAGAGATTACGAATAAGGAAATCCAATGAATTAGGCTATTGATATTGCCTTTGGAATCAACTTGTACAATAAGTACCTGGATAGCATCCTTTGAATAGTAGCGACCATCACCAGAAACTACAAGTGTAGCACCTAAACCAACATACAGCAGAAACAGAGAACAAAGTTAGTGGAAGCTGAGAAAGTAGTTTCAGACTGAAGCCAGGAAGGCTTCTCTTTAATGCACAATGTACACTCAAATTCAGCAATACACCCCAGTTTTCTGAAATAATTTCAATCTAAAGATGCACACGGTCTATCATTAAAATGCCTTAACCATTCTCATATCAGCTTATAAGTTGCATGTGTGAGTGAAAGTTTGATCACGAACCTACAATTTGGCTGCAAGCTTAAAGCATTATCGATTAAGAAATAATAATACAACATCCAACATAACACTAGCACTTCATTAATGCTGAAAAATCACCTCTAACTTTGCCGGCTCCAAGTGCATTAAATGTAGACTGAACAAAATTTTCCAAGTACTTGGGTTGCTTAAATACTTTCACCTGAAACAACCACACCAAATATAAATAAGATTCGACAATTCAGGGTCCCTGCAATCAACGAGTAAGCATAATTGATATAGAATTCAGATTCTACAGTGTTTAAGAAATGTTTGACATGACTATAGTATACTAGGAGCAGGTTAATCATAAAAAGAGCAAACTGCATGTTGATACCTTCAAGAGACTTAGTTAAGATATGATTTGCTTGCAACACCTTCTTTCAGTTATTGGCAATAATGGCCAGTTCAGATTTATGACTTCTATCAGTTATTGGCAATAATGGCCAGTTCAGATTTATGGGCCAATCATACCTTCCCACAAAAAACTACGGGCCAACGTTCAAAGAAAATAATTATGATTCACAGAAAGTCCAAATTTAGTTAGTCAACCTTAGGGTGAGAACTTATTAAGAAATAAAGAAGGAACTGAGTCAGGTCCCTCCAAATTGATTGGATCACCGAATTTAGTTGTCCCAATTGAAAATGTTATACGTTATCAAACAAATGTTTCAACTCAGAAGTTTCGAGCTGATAGTCTTTTATAGTTAAGAAATGCAAAGTGCTGCATGGTGAGCCGGCCATTGATTTGGCAGATTTGGAGGAGGCTACACTTCCTGAGCCCTACAAGTACACACTTGTAGGCAAGTTTTCCACCGCAAGCTGACCATGAGAAAGGTATGTGAAATCTTTTAGAAAATTGGATTCCATGGTAGTTTTGAGTTGGGGATTATTGACACTACGCACATATTGATACACCCTACACATGAGGAGGATTATAGTCGGTTATTTTTCAACTCTTCATGGTATATTGATGGGTGTTCCCTGAAAGTCCTTAAATGGACACGTTATTTTCGACCGAAGCATGAGACTCCGATTACTCCGGTATGGGTTTCTTTTCCTTTGCTACCGGCTCATATGCGTGCCAATGACAGCCTGCTTCTACATCTACAATGCCTACCCTAGTACCCCATTTAGTTTCTACAAAGAATCATCTACAATCTCCTACTAAGGCACCATCGCAGATTCCTACAGTAACAGAGTCAACTCCAATAGATCCTACTGAGGTACCCACACAGACTTTACCAATTATTGAGCCACCTCAAGTGGCTCCCATTGAGGAAAGCCCTCTTCCTCCAGTTACTACTACTTCCCCTACTACTGAGACACCCTCAAGCCTACACATATCAGTTCTCATCCATCAAAGAAGGGTGCTCAATTTTCATGGAATTCATGGTCCATCTTACAGAGTGATACGAGGACATAGCCCTATGCCCCTACAAGGAGATGCTGGGAGATATTGGTACTCATGAGCTCGCTATTAAGTTGATGTTGATTGATCATTTCAAGAAGAAGCATCGCATGACAATAGGGTCTACTATGAGATTTGCTATTGAGGACTTGTTCTTCTACTTGGTAGGCAGGAAATCAAAGTCCCACTCCTCTGGGACTCCTACTCCTACACCTTCATACGTTCCTATCATCACAGTTCCAAATCCGGATAAGGTGGGGACATAGATGGTATGGGCCTGGGAGATTGCGTCAATTAGTGGTTCAGATTCATCGATTGATTAGGCATGCATTGGATGCTATAGCTATGATTATGATGAGACCCGATGCACTTGCATTTCAACCGGCACACATAGGACCGTCACCCGCCTGCCCCTTTCCACTAGGCAGGCCCCATTCCCAGAAGGGACCTTTCACCAGCTAGCGACCCCCGATTAGTTAGATTACCATGATCATGATATGTTTCAAACCAGACACATAACCCCATCTATGTGTCACGAGAGGATATACCCTCGTAAATACCCTTGAGTAATTTCATCTATTTGTATTTGCTGCTTTCACTTATTTTAAGATCATTGTAGCAATTTATCATTTGCTGGAGGTCAGATCTATGCCCCTTCATGATGTATTTTTTTATTATTATTATTATAATAAAAGCTTAAAAAACTGAAGCACATATTTTGAAAAATCTCTTAACATATAAATTCTATTCAGAAAAATTAAGTAATTACAGTAACTATCAATAAAATTCAGTAATAAAATTGGTCATGTCTTGGATTTGCTTCCCAATGGTCACCGTTCGAGCCCCTCAGAGCCACTGAGGTGAGTACCCGACCGTAAACCTCAGGGCCCCGTGGGATTAGTCGAGATGCGCGCAAGTTGGCCTGAAAATTCACGGTTATCAAAAAAAGAAGTAATCTATTATTATGAGCATGTTTGGCAAAGGTTAAATTATAATTTAAGCTGGTCAAGCATACCTCTTTTTATCCATATAATTCGTAGGACTCATAACTCACTACTCACTTATTATCCATATGACTATAACTTATAAGCACTTAAAAAACTACCAAGCAAGGACTAAGATTTAACGAGTATTTTAGCAATTAATCCAATTTTAGCATCTGATATCAAAACCACAAGAAATATTATAAAGAATAATAATAATATCAATAGTTTCTAAAAAGACTCGAAAACCCCAAAACTTTACGAAAGTGCTTTTTTGCACCTTCAACTATTCCTCACTTAATTGCAGTGCTGAGCTTCTACGTTATAGAGTGCCCAGGGTGTGCCTCACTGCAGTTGCGCCTGGGCACAATCTTATTAACTATGCACTTCAATTTCAATAATAGGAACTTTCGAAACTTCATAGTTAATGATGCATATATATACTGAGCTGAATTATGTTAAATACTTCTGAAACATGTAGCATAGAAAGATTCCAATGCAAACTGAATTTCATTTCTCCTCTGACCATAAAAGTGAACATGAAAGGTTTTAAAGAGAAGAGAAGAAGAAATTGATCGAATTATATTTTACTGACATTGCGATTCAATAAAAGATACTTTTAGCAATAAATATTATTTAATAGCAAAATATGTATTACTTGTTAAAGAATATTTCCGCTTTTTCTTATTTAGGGCTAAATTAATACCGATTCAACTCAAAACTTACATAATGATCAAAATAATATTTTTCCATGTGAAGTTGCAACATTGTAGGAAAGGTGGAATTTCAGCTCAACCATCCTCCGGACAGGATTGCAAAGAAAAAAGTAAAGAAAAATAAGAATGAACATAGACACACACACACTTGGGAACGAGGCAATGAACTTGTTAAATCATTTCCCTTAGGTTCTAATTTTAATATGATATCGCACCCTTAAAATGGTTTTTAAGATTCCAAACACCATTACAATAATACTATTCCGTCTAATTACAGCAAGAAATACTCACCTTGGTGTCTCTTTATCTTAACAATAACCACCACATTGAGCATGTGGAAATAAAGATACTAACCTAGATATGTATGAAATGAATACCTTCCATGTTTTGCCAATGTAGATCACATACTAACCATATATAACTATTTACGACATCAAGTCTTTTTTTACTTTTCAATTCCATTCTGAACTTGCAAAATATCACTAACTAATTTGCAGAGGTCCAGCTTCCAGCAGTAATATAGTTCAATTTCACTTATTTACACCCCAAAGGCATATACACTGCCAGATCCCATAAATTACAAATATGAATATAAAAAAGAATGGTCCTCTAAGAATTTGTGTTTCAACTGGATCAGCTAGTTCTACTGGGGCTTGAGATGTGTAAGAATCAAAAATCAACTTTGTTACTTATCTTTACACAATTAATAAACTTTTAAACAAAATCCGTCAGGTCTACCAATGCTGATAAATTTCCTTACCCAAAAATAGGTCATTGCTATCAAATTTTTTATACAAAAGCAGATCACTATTAGTACTATAATGCTTAATAACACCACATTATCGAAAGATCCAGAAGGACCAATCAAATTACTAAATAAAGAACAAAAAAAAAAAAGCAAAAGGACACAAATATCAACAATTTTCAACCTTTACAGAAACAAATGATTGTGAACAAAGACTTGTAACAATTTTCTCGAAATACATCAAAAATCAAGAACCTTTTTCCTGAGACCAGAAGTTCCCGGCTTCTGGTCATTAAACGGCGTTGTTTCCACAGATGAAACCTTGAACATCACCATTTTTCTTCAACTAAAAAGGAAACCAACAAAATAAATCAAAATAAACAAGCAGATCGATTCATTGGCACACACGAATACATATACATATGTATAGATACATGTGCTCTGCATATAGATTAAAGAACCAAAAAGAGAAGGAAAAAAAAAAAAGAAAAAAGAGTAAGATGCTTACAGAGAAAGCGAAGGAGATGAGGATGTGACGGAGAGGAGGGATGTGTGTTCCGAGAGAGTGGCGGAGGAATATATATACGTGTGTAACAAAATCAAATCAAAATAGAAAAAAATATAAGTGCGTGGGATGAGAGAAATATTCGATTGCACACGAACTTTTCATTTATTGACCATTTCGTTCCTCATATTACCGCTTTTTCATCTTTTCAAGAAAAAAATTGTGAACTAACAACTGAGTATTTGTTTTTATTTGCTTAACAATTTAGACCATATTTGGTAGAGATTAAAATAAGATTTTTAGTAAAATTTAATAAATGTTGATATGGTTGAAAAGTTATGAATCTCATAAAATATGTGTTTGAAATTAATTGTTGACTTTGACATGAAATTTTAATCCAAACCAAACAGTTCTTTAGTCAGAGACACCAAAGACATATGCCCTTCCATCCCTTGAACTTATTTTTTCTTGAAAAAAAAAATCCCTATTGATTTTATTAGAGCCTTTCTTTTGACTTTGGGGAATTTCCATTTCTTCGAGTGACATGATCTCGAAGACTAAATAATTTATGTTGAAATCATTAAGGGACTATTTTCTTTGTATTTCAATTTTGTGTTTTGAGTTTTCAAGTCATTTTGAATTTTGTGTTTTGAGTGTCCATTTTGAAATTATTGAAAATATATTCTTTTTGACATTTTGAAAAATTATAGTGATTAAATAAAAAAAATGTGTAAAACTATTCTACTTTCATAACACTAATGATCTAAATATGCTTATGTTGGGAGGAAGGTTAAGATCTTATTTAGGCCTGGGCATGGTTTGGGTTGAGTTGAGTTGATTTTATGTCCAACACGTAATCGAAACAGACTTAGTCTGTTTGGTTAAATTCCAATCCATTCCTGCAGTTGAAATTGAACCAAACCAAATCCAATCGATTTGGGTCGGTTTGGTTTGGTTAATTGGTTTGGACATTGATGCGAGTTTTCAAAAAAATTTGTATATATATATAGATATAATTCTTTTTTTTTGGCTTGCATAGTGCATAATACATATAACGTAAATAGTAATGAGTTGATTTTTCCAAAATTAATGTATATATCAGATAGTTACCAACAAACAATTACACCAAAAATGAAAAGCAATGATACAATTTAAATTTGGAACTTACAACAAACATTTCTTGCTTGCTTTTTTTTCTTTCGAAATTTGGAATTTTGAAAGAAAAAGTGTAGATGATTAATAAATTATTTGAGAAAGAATTATATTTTTATTTTTATTATTTTATTTTTTTAATTTTTAAAAAAGGAATTTTAAAATGAAAAAAAAAATGTATTAGCAGGTTGGATTGGTTAATTGATGAGTTGGTTGCTTAAATCGAAGATAACCCAACATAACTTTATAATGGTTAAAATTAATCGAACCAAACCGATTTTTCGTTCAAACCGACCCAGCTTGGTTTAATCGATTTTTTTTTAAAAAAATGCCTACCCCTAGTCTTATCGATGAAAGGCCCTCATCAAGATTTAGTACAACCAGCGAGCTTTTTTCTTTATGGAGAAAGACATATGTAAATTGATTAGTACACTTATTATCAGTGTTCTAAAATGCACGCATATGTTTGGAACGTTTTAGAAATGTCTTGCATATGGGGTATGTGCATAATAATGCGATCAACCTAATTCATTGATCGTATATGCATAATTAAAGTCCAAAATGTGCACGCATTATTTATGTTAGAAAATTGTGTCATAAATACCAAGCAAAGAAAGGCCAGCCCATTTTTATAACTTCAAAAAATAAAATTGAGCTGAACAAGTATCAAATTAGCCCAAATCACCTAAGCCCGTGATTATATACAGCAATTTGTAGGGTTTTGAAGTTTACAAAAATCAAAATAGATTTTTCGTAGGTTGCAAATTATCTACATCGAATTCGAGCCTCATTCTTCTTCGATCTTTCTCTACTTTTACTAACAAGTGATGCTAGTAATGTACAATCTTAGATCTTAGAAATTAATGTGTTTAAATGAGGAAGCTCAATGAAAAAGATGACTTACATGAAGAAGAAGAAGAAGAAGAAGAAGAAGAGATTGAATTGAAATTCAATAAAGAGTCGGACAACATTTAAGATTTTTTTAAGTCGATGTTCGTATCTAATCTAATTGTAGGAATTGATTACCAAATAATTGTAGAACTTATGATTTTGAACAATTTAATTTTTTTAATAAAATTTGAAGAATATGTATAAAGTTCAAATTACGCATTATTTTATTTGTTTATTAGTTTAAAATATTTAAAATAAAATTAAAAATTCGGAAAAAAGCATAATATAGTTTAGAATATTTTAAATAACATTAAAAATTAAAAAAATGCATAATTTCGTATGTGCTTCGCATAGGCACGCATATACTTGTAATATTTGATACTCGACCAAAACTCATTGCTACGTGTTATGCATTTTAGAACATTGATTATTAGTAGCATTATATTTTAGTACTCCAAGAAATCTAAATTGATATTTGAAATTTTATGAATGAAACACTAGTATAATTTTTTTAAAAAAAACTCTTAAAATAATAAATTTTCATTCAAAATGTCTTATTTAATTGAACTATTAAAAGTCTTCATCGCCAAGTCGTCAATCAAATTTGTGTCCCACCAAAAACAAGTAAATAATTGAAATCAAACCCCTTGTCATAGATACAAATCGGCATTCTTCCCTAGGGTCAGTATGGTCCAATAAAGGTTGAAGTTACACACATTGTGGCAGCCCCAAATCGTTGACTGTCCATGGGTTCCGTTAAGACCCATCAAATAGGTGATTCATCTAAGTCCCTGAAGATTATCGAACCTAAAAAAAATAAAGAAAAGAAAAGAAAACTTCAACACTCTTTTACGACATATTACATGTTCCATAACCATTTTGTTGGATTCAAAAGAAATGGGTAATCGTTTATCTGATGTAACAGGAGCGAAATCTAACTCTAATGGTTTGAGGAAGACGACCCACATAAAGGACAGTGACAAGAGGCACATAAAAGGTTTAGTCTATGATCATAGCACCGAAAAGGGGGAAAAAAGAAAAAAAGAAAAAGAACCTAGTGCTCCCATATACATCACATGCAAGTCACATTCTCGATTCAAGAAAACTCTTTTACATTTTTAATGTAGTTACGTACTGAGTTTATATTACCCATTTTTTTGTTATATTTATATGTAGTATATAGTATTTGCATATGTTCAAGAGTAGTGTGAGTTTTAAGATCATGGTATTAATAAAATGTGTAGTGTTCCCAAAACATTTTAAATGCATCCCGTGTGTATACATTTGGATGTCCCGAACCACGAAATGTAAAATGTTATACATAATAATCATTCTATGTAACATGTTTTTAATGCGGAATGTATATTGTTTTTAGTGAATGCATAGTGCTCTACCACATCCGTCTATGTTGTTCCACATGAATAAATGATGTACATGCCGAGTCCCATTTTTGAATTTTTGTGCTCATGAGTATGGATGCACAACTGCATGTCCAAAGCACGTATATATATGGTTTGTGCATTACCTTTTGGTTATAAGTAATGTTACTTTGTAGAAAATACCGTGTGCATTACATTATGTTACAATGTGCAACCAAGTTTGATGACCTTAGTTCATGATTGAAGTATGTGGTCTAGACTAACATTCATTCTCATTGCCGCACAATATTGCGTAAACAATTTTGCATTATATAATCAAAAATTTAGTTGCAGAAATACATTGTGAATTCACATTTTTTTCCCACAACATGATAGATGTGTCACACAAGTATAATGTTATATATTTGATGAATGCAGCATTCTATTGGGAATGGAGAATTATAACATTTTTTATGAAATGATGGTATATGCTATCACAATTCACAGTATTTGAACTGCACGAGTAATTTGAATCGGTCTGCACTCTCATTTTGAATATTAATTTTGACAAAACTCTATATTTCCACAATTTCGAACTCTATACACTTTTTATGTTGACCTATTTTTTTTAACCGTTTTTCTCTATTGTTTATTTTTCACGCCCACCACCCAACATGTCACAATTATGAACCTACATGCCCACTCACAAGAACAATATATATTTTTCGTACTACACCTCGTTATAAGTAACCTGCAAGGCAAGATATAATCTTCATACATACCTATTTATACGCATCACGTGGTCTACACAACACATAATTTTTTTTTTAGATCTAAAGTAGTGTGTTTGTATGAAGCAGGATATATATTACTTGCATGTGACTATATCATCTGATATATTGTTAACGTGTCTTCAACTCACAATACAACACACATACCACATATCGATAATAGTATCGAGCTAATCAAGTATGATGTCACCTAATGTTTAGTCGTCAAAACCACATGAAGTGACTAACTTTTTTGTATGCTTGTTTCAGTGGGCTTACAAAATCCATATAAGTTCGTCATATGGAATGAAGTATTTTATTACTATGTTTCATCATACTCAGAAACGCATTACATGATATTGTATTTGATCTTTTTTAAATGTTAAAGCATCTCTATTCTCATTTACTGTTACATATTATCTTATGTTTTTTTAATCTTAATATTCTGTATTTAGCATATACCTAGATAATAGATTTGGTGGAAACGGTTGCGTATTATTCAAAACTGATGTGGTTTCAAATCTGAAATCGAAGCTATATGAATCAGATGAGGATATATTTAGGAGATCATGCTTCAGTCACTTCTTCGAAATGAGTGATATACGGTTACAATACCAGACATTACACAAAATGCTTTTAATGTAAGTGTGGCAATCCACT